CCGGAATTTTATTAACTTCATCATTTTGAATAAAACATCCTGTACTTTATTGGATTTTCAGATACTCCTTGAAGAGCTGATTCCATCGATCTATCACACTTGGGGTCTAGCGGGAATGATTACATAGGTATAGGGTGTTTAAAATCTAGATTTTTCAACTTCAGGACTTTTTTGTATCGAAACTATCCATTATCGATCAAAACTGCTCTAATATTCCTATCTTTACTTTTGATTTACTATCTACTGACATTTAAATGGAACAGATACAGAGGGTGATCAGAATTCTGAATCTTGAACCACCCTGTATTTGTTCCAATTAAATGTCAGTAAATTGTGAATCAAAAGAAAATATAGGAACATTGAAGCGGTTTCGATCGATAATGGATAGTTTCGACACAAAAAAATCCTAAAGTTGAGAAATATAGATTTTAAACACCCTATACCTATGTAATCATTCCCGCTAGACCCCCAAGTGTGATAGATCGATGGAATCAGCTCTTCAAGGAGAATCTGAAAATTCAATAAAGTTCTGGGTGTTTCATTCAAAATAAGGAAGTTAATAAAAAATCCGGAGTAACTGAAAAAGTGGCAACATTGGCTATAACATTTCCAAATCCGCCACGTTAAATCCAACAACATGTTACTAAGATATTCACCTGTTTCCATACATATATCAGCGACCCTGTATAAGACGTGCATGAAGTATTGAAATATGTATCCTCAACAACCTCTGCTGAAAAATAAATAAATACATAATTTCTCTATTATCTAGTGCTTCATTGAAACTTCTGGGAAATAGACCACTGTCAACGAGTACCAACAAACCAGAGCAGTTATTTGTAACAGTAAAAAAACTAATTTCATGGATATTACAGATAGTATTGTACACTTCCAACTCGTGAGAATAAAGAATACCTGCACAACAAACATAAATAATGTAGAAAAGTAATTTCAGATGGCAATTTCAAAGAACTATATTGTCTCCGTTTCTTCAAGGATTTTTATGAACTTCATGTGAACGAAGTGTTAAATAGAAACTTGTTCAAAGGAATAACAAGCATAATATCTTAATGGTTTGTAGTTTAAGACCTAATAAGAATGAAACAGTTTTTCAAGGAGCTACTATTGAAATGAGACCATTGAGATCTGATGGTCAGATCATATTCGTACCGGATTCTCCCTATAAACAAGTCCAAATAAGTATAAGTGATTTTATAAGCTTCAAGATCAATGCATGAAAATTGATAGCTATATTGTTTGATGTTTCGTCTTTTTTTCGTCACGAAACAGGAATTTTATTTGAAGATACAGCAATGGAAAAATGCCGACCACCTTTCATATTGGCTGAAAAGTTCATGATTTAATTGAAGAAGATGCAATGCAGACAGTTGCTTCTTATCTTTAGGGAAAAGACTAGGACATTCATAGCTTAATAATATAATATATCTGATAATTTGTTTATTAATTGTATTAAAACATCCCCCCCCTTGCTATTCCTTTATACCAACGTTCCAAATTGATTTATTATCGTAGCGATGAGTACATAATTATATAGAACACATCAATACATACTCTCACGAATATCAGATTCCTCCTTATAGTCTTCTAATTAACGAGAGATTCCACTCCAAGACAATTTGAAATGATTGAAATCCTCTTAATTATTGTGCCTTTCGCATAGAAATTGCTTTGGTCGTAAAAATTGTATTTTGAAATCTCTATTTTCGTCAATTCTAAAGTAAAAATACAACTTTCTTATGGAACACAAACTATATGCATTTATTTTAATGTCACCCTGTCAGCGGTCTAGTGGCTAATATGTGATTCATAAAAACCACCAAACGATGCACAAGTATCTGGTACGAGGAAAAAATTGTTGTAACAACAAAACTATTTAGTTTTTTTTGTTGACTTGAATCATTGTTGCGGAATTGGTAAAATATACTAATTCATTTCAGATAAGTAACTTATTCAAAACGACAATATAGTGCAATCGAAATATCAGCATACTTGAACAGAGTTTTATTTCTTTCAACAAAATTTGACAACAGTTGACGTAAAAATTTTTTGTTTATTCAATCGTATGCATTCTGTCTATTTTACACCTTCGAATTATATTTGACAAAAATATATCAATCAAGTAAAGAAATGTTTTATTTAGTATTCACAAAAAGACCAAAAACTGTTAATAGACGCATTCATTATGGTACAAATGGTATTAGGAAGAATAGGAACAGAAATACATATTAAAATTGTTTTTCCTTCACATTATATAACATGACGTTTTCGAAATATTCTAGAAATATCACCCCCCCTTATAGGGGCGGTATTTCTCGATTCATCATGTTCATTGGAACTGTTCCTTCTATTTTTGATTGAAGATGCCGCTGGTGACGTTTGACCAGGCTAATTTCGGAACACCCTGTATAACGACGACAAAATAACAAGTACGGCGATTGTGAAGGGCACAACGTGTATAAAACAGCAACTGTACGCATGCAATTGCGCTCATTACTATGATATAGTTCGTGCATGAAAACAATGGAGTGCAGTCGTGTGGACTATAAGAACCACTACGTGATCTTGACACGCCTACAAACCTAATGGATCTTGAAGGATGCTAGAGCTAGGAATTTTTCATTGCGGTGTTTTTCATGTTTCTCCATCAGTATTCATTCCATGCTATTTACAGTGTTTACTGCAGTTCGGTATCACTTATAGTTACAATATCAATAAAAATTCAATTCTGAATCAAGGCCATTCGATTTTTTTTGCTAGGCTTCTAATAAATACATCAATCATGTTATTTTTTTTTTAAGTTCTGGTTCCCACGAAAAGGGATATCCTGTAATGTTCGAAGAACATCGTGAGAACCAAGGGAAATAAGGTGGGAATTGCTGTTCTTCTAAAATTTCTGGATGTTATATGCCTCGGGGAACACTTCCCTTGGCAATATGTGTTCCAGAGTTTCGCTGTTCGTTGGATGATCGAGTCTTTGGAAAGAGATGTTCTGCAGGCCTCCAAAGTGACCACGAAGGGGTGCGAAGCCTCAACTCGACGGGTTAATCTCGCGGGGACTGCCAAGGGAGAAACAATTGTTGATATTTTAAAAGAGCATCGTCCATGGAAATATCTATAAAAAAGAGCCAGATCGCCTTCGGTGTTCTAGAGAAGTGAGTGGGTTCGTGAGCGAGGCATCACCCACGAGACGAATGGCCCTTTTTTGGACAGAATCAGGGTATGTTTGTGTGCTGCACTCCAAAGTGCAGGACAGGTCGAATCTGTGCCTTATCGATCATAAGCAGCTGGCTGGAAGTGAAATAGCTCCTAGCCCAAAACAGAAAACCAAGTTTTTGGAATGCACTTTTAGCAATTGATCTCACGTGATTTTCCCAAGGTTATTGCTGATAGTAATACCAAGCATCGAAATGGATGTCTTCAAAGGTATGGTTACTCCTGACAAGCTTATGTTGGGCACAGTTAGATCGGCTATTCTAGAGAAAAGGCATGCTTGTGTTTTTTTTTGCATTGAAAACTATCAAGTTATTGGATCTCCATTCGAGAATTATTGCCAAGTCCATATTTATGTTGTCAACATTTCTCTCTCGTTCGTTTCTGATTTGCCTGGCTGGTATTGGAGCCCTGGAAGAGAAGGCGGTATGGAGGGTACTATCATCCGCAAAGCAGTGTACTGGACATGAAGTTGCTTCCAACAAATCGTTGATATGGAGTAGAATTAGTGTTGGTGCCAGAATTGATCCTTGCGGAACACCAGCATTTATGATGAGGGAGTCAGATGAAACTCCGTCAACCAGTACATGGAGAGACCTGTTTGAGAAAAAACTAGCTAGCAGAGAACATAGCTGGGGAGGCAAGCCATGAGATGGAAGCTTGGCGAGAAGTCCGTGGTGCCAGACTCGATCGAATGCCTTGGAGACATCAAGTGCCACGGCTAAGGTTTCACCATATGTTTCAATAGATTGCTGCCATATATGTGAGACGTAAGTGAGCAGGTCGGTCACTAGTTGATCTCTGATGACGGAGGTATTTCATGAGCTCGATGTTGATAGCTTTCTCCATGATCTTTGAAATAATAGACAGCACTGCGATCGGTCTGTAATAGCTAGGTAGGGTCTTTTTGCCTTTTTAGGAACTGGTTGTACTCTTGCAATTTTCCAGTTGGACGGGAATATCCCCAATTTGTAAGAGTAGTTGAACAACTTGCAGAGAACAGGTGTTAGTTTGGGAGCACATTTTTTGGGATCACTCGGTGGGATTCCGTCGGAGCCACAAGCTTTGTTGGTGATGAGAGTTCCTATAAAATCTTCCTTATAGTACGTTGGCGAAAGGTGATCTCGGGCATATGGCTGTCAATTGGCGTTATGTTTGGAGGTTGTTTTCCCGATGAATCCAGAGAGGAATTTCCAGCAAATAAATGCGCAAAAATGTTGGCTTTCTCCTGAGCAGTTGTGGCTAGTGTTCCATCTTCCTTGGTTAGAGGAGGAAACAAGCTGAAAGTGAAGTTTCTTCCTACAGCTTTGGCGTAAAACCAAAATAAACGGGATCCGTTAGGACATTCAACAAGTTTTGATTTTATTTTGGCATTATGAGCATCCTTTGATGATCGAATTGTCTCATTGCATATCCTCTAGCCTCGACATATTCTGCTCTAGTCTCAGGGCCTGGATTTTTCTGCCATCGATGGAATGCTGCCTGTTTGGAAGCTACAGCTCTAGAGCAGTTTCTACTGAACCAGGCCTTATCGAAAGATGTTCTCCTTGCAGTGTTCGGTATGTAGATTTGCATCCCCGACATATAATTACACTATGTAATAACCATGTAATCACCATGTAATCAGTAGGTATGTTATGGAATCACTTCGTAATCGTAGAATAATCACAGTGTAATCACCATAATGATCAGTCAGTAGCTTTATGGACCTCTCAACCATTTTTATGGACCTACTAACTAACAACGACAACAACAAAGCATCAACTCACCTCTTCCTCTCCGTTATTGGTGCTGACCGAGTCCATGCTCTGGCTCAACGTCACCCCAAGCGGCGCCTCCATCATGACACTCTCCTCTTCACCTCGCCGTCGATCGGGCTCAAGTCCGGCCTGGCAGGCGGCTGCCGACGCTGGTGGCCGGCGGGCGTCGTGGTGGCGCGCCCTCTTGAGCGCCGAGGGGGGCGGGGGGGAAGGGGGGGCGGCCGGGAGGAGGGGGTGGGGGTGGAGGTGGTCGTTCGCCTGGGGGGCAGGAGGGTGCCTACCTCTCTTCGAGGCGCCGAACACGGGATCCACGGTTCGCGCTCCTGGGGACAGGGGGAGAGGGGGGGGGACTATGCGTGTTGGTGGGGGGGCTTGGGGGCGAGTGGGGTCGAGAGGGGCAGTTCGGCTACAGGCTGCAACAAAGAAATGGCTTTTTATAGAGTGTGTCTCACTTATAATGGAAGCACCCTTGTGTCTGTCGTAATTGTTGAGTGAGGATTCTAAAATTTGCAGGAGCGAGAGATAATATACCAGATATACACTATATGACCTAGTGGAGTGGGGTCTTCAGTGATCTACACTGCTCGCCAACAGCCATGGGGCCACCCAAATTCTTTTTTTCTTCATGGGTCGGAATCAGTGTCTGATTTTTTTGAGATTCTCAGTACAATCAGGAAAAAATATGTTTCAACCTATATAACTCGCTATATAAGCAGTCTACAACATTGCGTGAACCGATTATTTTGAGAATCTAGAAGGAGAGTTTTTTTTTGGGTTCCATGTAATATCGAGACATTTAAATGTGTCATGACATAAATAAGGTATTCTCTTGTCTAAATATGGGTGAACCGTATTCTCGTCGAAAATTGAGTTAGGCCTCTTCGTAAGAAATAATAAGTAACGACTTGTAACGACCATCATAATTTTTCATTGCACTATAAATCCACACTGATGACACCTACGCAACGATATTATAAACAAGGAGGATACTTGCACTCCTATTCAATATCCATTGTGAATTGAATCCTCTTCATATAGTTTCAAAAGATCGAATGAGTCGAATTATGTGGGTTTTCAGTAAATAGGATTATGGGCAACGTAGGAGTGATCTCCAAACTAGATTCAAGGTAAGGCTTGGCCTTTAGCAGTTTGTGTTGTGGAAATAGTATTGTTAATTTCAAATATAACAAGCCATGATAATTACAGCGGAGAAAATCTGCTACACTTGTAAAAATTCGCTGAAGTACGCCGTTTTCGAGATATTTCGGTTTATGGTTTATAGTGTTCGATGCCCCACCGGAATATTCAAATTATTCTGAATAAAAAATGTTTGCTGTTATTATTTTCGTGGACATGAATGAGCAGTGCAAAAAGGGATTTTTCAAAATACTTTTTAACGAAAAAATTTCGGACTATTTTGACCTCAGGACCTCGCTCAGTACCCTGTGCTAAGATTGTGTCTTTTAGGGACACCCTGTATATTATGGATGACTTGGAACTTCCGATGTGTAATTCAGAAAAACAGCAAAAACACTGTTTACTTTTGCACGTTAAAAATATAAGAGACTGAGGTCTTGAGGTGGTGCGGTGAGAAAGACCCAACCAAAGCCTGTTTTGGCTAAATCGTTCAAAATTAAGTGATTTTCTATTCTCATTGCGTATTTTATCAACTGATTGCAGTGATAAAAGCTACCTGAAAATGATTGTCTAATTTGTTCTCTTACAAATTTTGAGCTTATTCGATCAAATTTGTTATAAACATGGTTATTATTGGCTAAATTTATTAATTGTCTTTCAAATGTATTATTCACAGTGTGATGTTTTTGTATAATGACTTACTTGAATGCGTATAGTTCGACGCCATAGGGAAAACAGATTTGCTAAGTTGTATATTCCTAGTGTAAATAATAATTACACTTTATAATGATTACAAGTTTACAAACAACAAATTATATGTAGGTACGTATCTACGTATCAATTTGCATTTTATATATATATATAACGAGATTTGCACTTGCATTCTATATTCCGTTCTACATACCAGTTCCTTGTTACTTTCTAATAAGATTTATGGAATTCATTTTCGAATAGGTATATCTTCAATAGACAAGCACGAGGAGAAACATTAAAATTGAATTACTGTTAAAAAAAATCAATGCATGTAACTAGTAGGTGTGGTTACTAAGCAGCATGTATAGTTATGATAGGGTTGTCCATCAATGTTCTCAACATGCAATATTTCGATTTTCATAATAGAGGAAGTCCAAACGCGGTTTTTGTCAAATATCAAATATACTGAAAAGGGATATTCTCAGATAAATTATGGATTATGGATACATATTCATATGAAGCAATACATTGAGAAGTCGCATTCTCTATGTGATGAGAATATCTACTCTTTTTCAGTTTATTCAATAAAAAACAACTACTTTCCTGGCTATATGCCACGACGAACATTGAATTATATCTATTGAACACACACGATAAGAGTTTGAAAATAAAATATAAAAACTTCTGAAATTGAGAATTTGCATTCTCCTTCAGACAAAAATATGTATATGCACACATCATTCTGAATATTCAACAGAAAACAACTACTTTCCTGGCTATTGAATTATATCTGATGAACATTCAAAAGGAGAACATAAAAAATAAAAAATAAAATCCTCCGAAATTGAGAATTGACATTCTTCTTCAAATCGGATGAATAAAATGATGTATAATGATATAGAAATATAACTTACCAATATATTCAGCATTGAAATGAAAATTGGAATGTATAGGAGAAGTATACTGGCATAAACTCTGATGATCTTGATGAGCTTGAAAACTTCCAAAAATGATCATTCATATCAGTGATATGGGAAATATTATCTCTCACACACAGGTTATATGACTTTATTGCAATGAAACCATTTCGTCGTGGCATATAGCCAGGAAAGTAGTTGTTTTCTATTGAATAAACTGAAAAAGAGTAGATATTCTCATCACATAGAGAATGCGAATTCTCAATGTATTGCTTCATGTAAATATATATCCATTTTTGTATGTCCATAATTTATCTGAGAATATTCCTTTTCAACACTTTCATACCCAATCAGGGGGTTCAAACTTGAACGATGGAAACTTGTGATTTTTATAGACCTCTAATCGCAGATTCGTGATAGAGTCTCAATTCAGAATTTCTTTCCACGCCCTGTATGATGAATGTCAATTTACGTCAATTTATCATACACCCAAAATCAAATATGCTCTCACTCTCAAAAATTAATGAATGTTTGATAGGTATATAGATACCTGACATGTGCTAAAAGATCTAGGCCACATATTCCTGTTTGTTGTATATAATAGGTATCAGGTCTACATAATATTTGTACCTATATTGATCACCTATATTGATCCCTTCCGTATATAGAGACAAAATCCAGGTAATTGAAACTCAGTAGCGGTTAACTGAAGCAAGTATCAATTAGTAGAGTGGTTGTTTGTATCAGTTTGTTTCGGTAAACTAGCAAATCTGGAGATCTTGTTCATCCAACGCCGCAGGTAAATGATCAATAATGTTATAGGATAGGTATAGTGTATTGTCCCAGAGTATTGATCCCATAATGTTATCTCACATATACCTGGTGGTCCACTTATGACTATACAACCTCGATAACTCTAAAAAAAATGATTTTACTAAATACCAACGAAACGTTTTTTTTTAAGGGGACACTATTTGACGCAACCCCCTCGGCAACCCCTTCTATAACTTGAATTCAATTCTGACACTAGCAGTGCAAAGTTTTTTGAATTGCAACAAGCTGTTCTCATGATATTCAAGTTCAAATAATAATTGACGGCCAAAGAGGCGAATTCCTTTGGCACGTCTGAAAATATTTCTCTTGTTATTGCCTGGCATTCAATCCTTGTACTATTTCCCTAACTGTCCAAGTAGGTTAAAAACGGATATTAAATGACCCCAAAGAAAAAAATCGTTGGGTGCCAAGTCCGGCGAGCGTGCTGGCCATTCTATTGGTCCTCTAAGGCCTATCCATTTGTTTGGGAAATTTTGGGAAAGTACTCATCTGTAACGTGGTCTATACATGATTTCTTCCACTACCAAGACAATAATAATAATAATGATGGTTTTCTTCGGTTTTCTTCTTCCCAAAAATCGTCACTATATGATGAATGGTCAACGTTATCATTGGAAGTAGCATATCAGTATACAGGATGATACTTCAAATAAATTCACCACATCATCTCAGGAAGAATTGGTGATTATTGGATTGGTGAATTATTTTCACTTACTAATAGTAGGTAGGAGCGAACAATTAACAATTGACATACAGGTAGCAAAATAATGGTGAGCTCGTGCTCTGAAGCTATAGTAGTGAAATCAAAAATATTTTGATTGTCGGTTTCGAAATACAAAATGATAGAGATATAAATTGTCACTCATTTCGAAAGCCATGCTGACTATATTATATCGATGTTATTGTTGGCACAATCAATGTATCCAGTTGTGAGAACAAAAATATACATGATCTTCTAAAGAAAACTGGACCACCCATATAAATAAAAAACCGAATCCTCTATACCAGATATAGCAGGGATCCGTCGATTTTTATACTTGGGGGAGCCTTTTTGACAGTTGGAAGAAATTGATATGTTCATCCCCCTAGCCCCCAGCAACCCCAACTTTGAGATTTTAAATGAACTACCCTACTTCCAGCACATATTTTGAATGCCTTGTATATTGCGAAATTTTTGCTGCATCGGTTTTGACTCGGATTTTGATAATCGGTTGTGCTCTAATTCAAACCTCTTCATTATCAATACATATTTATTAGTATTTTTAAGGATATTGACATCCTTTCACGCAAAAAAATTTATAGAAAATGAAATATTTTTTCCACCATTAGCCATTATTTACCATTACCATTATTTACTACTTTTCGATGCGAAAAGTGAGTTTTTACTACCTAGGTAGTTTTCGTCATTTCATGAAACACAATAAATGCAATAAAGACATAGATAGACATGTTATAATTGATTCGAATTCACTGCTCAGATGCGAGATTCGCAGGAATAGCACTCTAATCTAGTATAGGTTTTCATTAAAAACGACTTGTCATAAATGTCATGGTCATGGTTACTAGATTTCAATCAGAATTGAAAATAAGGGTTTTTATAGTGACAATAGGTCATAGAACTAAAATTATTGAAATCTATTGCTATATAGTGGTGAAGAAGTTAATATACGCTACTTTGTGTATAAACAACTATTAACATGATGGTACATCCCCTTATTATGTTGTTGCTTGACATTGACATTAAATTAAACTTCAATGTTCCGTCAGGATTTCCAATTGTAGACTATTTTATTCGGTGAATTGATCGCAACAACAAGAAAGATGGATGTAGATATTAGTGAATGAAAATCTGATGATTGACGAGATGATTGATGAGCAATTTTGGCTAGAAATTGGAACGGGAATGTCGGTTTCTGAATTATTATTGTCAAGTATTGATTTTATTCAATGAATCTGTAATATTTCATTAGATTTTCAAAAACGATACACCAGAGTATTCGAAATGGAAAGAGCTTTTAAGATCTGTTGATATGTGGTTGTTAGGGGCTAAGGCAATGAACAAATCGACAAGTCCTGGCGATTTCTGGTAGAGGATTCGGTTATCTACCTATAAAGCGGGTCAAGTTTTCATCTAAAGACCCTTTACATATATAAATTCACGTAAAATACTGAGCAAATGAAATGTAACCAGCCCATGCAAATCACGTAAAACTGGTAACCAACCTTATACTGTCCAAGTACTCAAACCGGCCAAAAAAAAAACATCCAGCCTCTTCCCGAAAACACACCACCCTCCCAAAAAAAAACAATCCTCAGCACCGGATCGCGCGCGAAAAATTCAAACCCGCACAGCTGATCCTGACAGAAGAAGAATCAAGCGAGCTCTGTCACGGCGCGTCGTACGTATCCCGGTGAACGGTCGATGCTCGACTGTTTGACTGTTACCACCGCCTGCCGCCTGAGCGGGGGTGGGGCATCACTGTGTGCCCCAGGTGAGGCGGCGATTGACAGGTGACAGGTGGCAGTGCGGGGACGGTTTCGCGATGGCGGCCGTCGGTGCGTGCGTGTGTGTTTGTGTTTTTGTGTGTGGCGGCGGCCGGTGCTAGCCTCAGACTGCCCCTGCGCCGCCTCCAGGTGTAGAGGGCGCGCTGAGGCGGTGCGCACCTGGTTACCGCGCAGGGGTGCGCGTGACGGCCAGGGGCGGCTCTCCAGGGGGGGGCGGGAGGTTGGAAACACGAGGCGCCGGCAATTGAAGGAGAAATAATACTTATTCATTGACATATTCCTCAGTTCAACGTATATTAAGAGACAATAAATTACATCCGTACCATGTGAATTTACATCAAGAATTTAAACTAGCCGATTTCGACCATCGACTGGACTTTTGTTATTGGCTGTTGGGGATGGTGAACGAAAACAGAACTTTTCTATTTCAAATATTATGGACTGACGAGGACACTTTTTGCAGTTCAGGGAAAGTTAATACTCATAACATGCACTATTGGTCCGAAACAAATCCACAATGGTCAAGGAAAGTTCAATTTCTAAATCGATGGAGCGTGAATGTGTGGTGCGGGATTTTGGGTGGAAGAATTATTGGGCCATATTTTTTTGATCAGCATTTAAATGGCGTAATTTATCTTCAATTTTTGGAAGGCGAGTTACCCATACTGTTAGAAGATATTCCTCTGGAGGACAGAATCAACATGTGGTTTCAACAAGATGGATGCCCAGCCCATTATGCTCGAAATGTTCAGAATTTTTTAAATATGCAGTTTCCGGATAAATGGATAGGTCGGAACAGCATTTTCTCTTGGCCGGCGAGGTCTCCCGACCTTACTGTCCTGGATTTTTATTTATGGGGTATGCTTAAAGACCTAGTTTATAAAGACCGTCCAACAACAGTTGATGATATGAAAGACGGAATTCGGGAAGCCATTAGAAACATTTCCGCGGCCGAAATTGAAGCTAGTGTGTCATCCACAACTGAAAGACTTGAATTATGAGTGGCCAATAACGGTGGACATTTTGAACATTTGAAACTTTGAATTTTTTTGATAGTAGAGTTTGTTCAATAATGTAAATATCGTAATTGTTGTTTCCTTGTTTGTATTTGTATTTGTCCATGGCATGCATTGACTAGTTGACTACGAAATTTGGAAAAAAAAATCAAAAACTTAATTACCTCTTTTGTTTCATCAATAAATTCGTCAATGAACTATTCTTTGAGCCATAACTTTCAAACAAATGAAGATATCGCCATGCGGTTTGGACATGTTGTGTTGCAAATTTTATCTGCTTTCGGAATCTAATAAAAAAATCATACGGTTCCATTTGAGATTTCGGAGCAAAATTGAAAAAACGGTTAAATTTATAAAACACGCCCCCTAACGAGCGCGATGATAACCAGAATGGCATAGGTGGTTTTTTAATTTGTTCACCAAGCCTTCCTTTCACGAACAAAACCTTGTTAGCAAATTTCCGATACGTCAAACTAAAGTTATAGACATTTACAGTCCAAAAAGTTTAGCATTCCCTCCCGCCTTCATTTTACGTCCTACAATGAAAATCTATTCAACAAAAAGATGGACCATTAGGATGACATTGACGTGAGAGTATCCATTTCTAAACTTATATTGGAAAAAATTCGAAAAAATTACATTTTTCATACGATCGAAGCTATTACGCCCCCTAGCGGTGGACGTATGGATTCAAAAAATATTTCCAGCAGTTTTTCTTGGTCGATTTCCTCGAAAGAATTTTTTTCCCAAACTTCTACGACTATTAGTTCCTGAGATACAGTACCTCGTCACCCTTATTGAATCACCCGGTACAAGAGAAACAGAGAAACACTAGTAGATACTGCCTGTAGGTTAATCAAGGAGGTGGTACATTCATTATATTAAGGACAAATCAGATGATTTGCCCAAAATGTCACTGCATTCAAAGAATTTTCCCGACAATTTTCCTATCAGAGAGCCTAAAAGAAAAATTCACTATAGCTTGTCAGTGACAATTTGTATTGAAAGAAATTTGGAGAAGAGGAATAAAGGTATATAGAGAAAATATCAAATTTTTACTTAGCTTTGGACGTTTCGGGAACGAATCTGCTCCCGTTTTCAACGTCACCAATTGTCACTGAGAACTGGAAAGTGTCACGAAAAATATTAATTTGCGATACAAAAAATCCAAGACGAGAATATGATGGTTCTCAGGAAAGAGAAATTATACAGACGAAGGCAAAAGTGTCTTTCAGAGCCTACTGAAAATTGCACCTCTGATATCTCATCCTACAAATAGGTATGCAAATACATTTATTGTCCTCACTATTCATATATTTATGAGACATAATATCACAGAGGTAGTTGCATCAAACCAATGGATCAATTTTGATGTCTGCATTACGATTCTATGCATTGGAAAAATTAATTGATAAACCGCTGGTGATTTAATGAAGAGATGGAGAGGAGAAAATAATCTGAATAATGCAGCTGATATTCCTATTGAAATGGCAGCATTGAATGCTTATGCGAAAGCAAAAAATATCTAGTTTTGCTATCTGTAGCCTAAAAAATCTCTAGTTTTGATGTACTAGCCATTTATACTATTTCAACCAAGTACAATGAATCCAAGCATACGTTTGTGAATATTATGCCAAATCTTATGAGCTTTAAAAAACAACTGTAGATGGTTAGGTTAGGTTAGGTTAGGTTAGGTTAGGTTAGGTTAGCTTTAAAAAACAACTGTAGATGGTTAGGTTAGGTTAGGTTAGGTTTACTGATAAAAATAGTCGGTAGTAAATACCAAACGTTTAGTATAAATGGGCACGAGTCACTACATTCATCTAATAATACTACTACAAATTTGTATAATACTTTTTTTTTATCGCTTGGAGCGCACGAAAGGGAATCCCTATAATATTATCACTACAAAATAGTATGATACAGTTTTGTCGTGGTATTATTTTTGGAGTATGTGAGTGGGGCGAATAACCCTAGAGGTTACAGTTCACTGTACACTCAACATCTTTTCACAAAGTCCATGGTTGAATTATGTGAGATTTGTCTGAAATCGATAGGTTCTAAATTGGTAAGGCCAAATATGTCGAACCTCAGTCTCTCTGAGCAAGAGCATGAACATAATATGTGTTCAGCCGTTTCGTCTTCCACACATCAGAACCGATAGTCCGTTTGTTGGTTCAGACTCATCCTTCCCAGGTATGGTATCTTAGACGACAGTGTCCCGTAAGCAGTCCTGTCAGAATTCGGAGGTTACCCCTGCTTCATTCTAGGGATGGAACAGGGTTAACTGAACATGGTACAACATTAACACTCATCTATAATGAAGTGGATTTTTTTATTGGTGACCTCAAAGGTGAATTGTATGAAATTAATTATTTCTTTTCTCATTATCCGCTTGCGGATGGATAGCAATAGCAATCAATTTCATTATTATTATTGTGAAAAGATAATAATAATAATATAGGTTGGGAGCGGAAACTCGATACAAATGGTACCTACTTCCGCATGCCTAATGCGCATTGAATAATACATGCCTACTTCTATTTCATTTTATTCAATTCTATTCAATACATTGTTTATGTCATTGGTGATAAGTTAACTGTTTATTTATGCTTGCCGTGACCTAACTGTTTGTATATATTCACTGGTGCTTAAACCCCCAAAAATTCCAATCAGTATACTCGCAGGTGCAGCCGTTGTCTCTTCATATTGGCCAAACAAGTGAACATACCAGTACAAGTTTCAAAGAACACGGCTAATTAGTCAGGAATACTGAATCTCGCGTGTAAATAATAAAATATGATTATTTTATTTCTCAGAACGCCCGCCAAAAATGCAAATTTTTTAATTGCATGTGAGAAATGGCCCGTTATCTATATTTTGGCGGAGGAAACCTACACTACACAATGAGCATGTCATATCGAGATGAAATCGTTATCAAGCGATGAACCGTGATATGACAGGTATCATAAACAACCATGGTTTTTCTGGGATAGATCTTGGTTGAGTAATAATAACCTTTGGCGTATTCAGAGAAATATGGATTATTATACGGCAGATAGATGATGTACAAAATGTATAGGGTGGTTCATAAGTTTTGATTAATTGAAAAAATTGAGGAAATCAATAAATCACCCTGTATCTTGGTTATAAAGTTTGATAGACCTATGAAATATAGATTATTCAGAAGCATCGTCTCGGGGCCCTCCATCTACTCTTACTGTATGCGCCTTTCCCAATGAATCACCCTGTATAATAATATAATAATAATAATAATCTTTATTCAACGAATTTTAAGAGAATTACAAGAATTTTAGAGAAGTAGCTATCGGTATAACAACGTATTGTAATTGTTCAGTATAATAATAATGATAATAATTCATTGCGAGAATATACAATATATAAACAATGAGTTACAAGATATACCTTATAATGTTCCTTTGCAAACAGGCGAGAAGCCAAAGAAACCATGGACGGTTGTATATGGGTATAAAAATATTACAATATAATAGATTATTAGTGTTTGATGAAACAGTATCTAAACATGTGATATTGTTAACATATATATCATTAGTTTCTGCACTTTGCACAAGTAGACAATCATAAAAGCGTACAGCATAAAAGTTTGAAAATTGCGGTAAATATAAGTCTATACAAATATAAAAGTATCAGAATGTAAATATATATAGAATGTATAAATATTAAAATGTGAAAATGTAGGCAAGCAAACATGTAAAAAAGGTATGAATGAATGAATGAATGAGGGAAATTTCAACCAAGGGGATCAGATTGAATTATTACTTTCTGTATTTCTGTACGGTCAGATTGAAGTATATATGTACGATTTAAAATATTTTTTAAACATTTTCCAGGCTATTTATTGTCAGAAGATGATTTTTATAAGTTTCGTGGAGTTTATTGAAGATTACCGACAAAAAGTATGTATAACATTTTTTTGCAATTGTTTTGTTATAGGTATAGGTAGTACTCGCGAATGAGAATGATTTCGACCCTTTGTCTCAACACCCCGTCTTCCTTTTTCCATTCGGAATAACACCAATTAGCTTATGTGAACA